TAAAATACTTGGGAATAAATTTTACCAGGGACACAAAAGACTTGTACAAAGAAAACTATAAAATACTATTTCAAGACATCATGAGAGACCTACATAAATGGAAGAACATACCATGCTTGTGGATAGGAAGCTTGAACATTGTGAAAATGTCAATTCTACCTGAAGCAATCTATACATTCAATGAAATTCCATTCCAGATCCCATCAACATTCTTTAAGGATATGGAAAAACTAATCACTAACTTTATATGGAAAGGAAAGAGACCTTGGATAAGCAAAGCACTGTTGAAGAAGAACAAAGTAGGTCGTCTCACACTGTCGGATCTCAAAACCTACTATACAGCCATAGTAGTCAAAACTGCCTAGTACTGGTACAACAACAGACACACAGACCAATGGAATAGAATTGAGAACCCAGAAATAGATCTATCAAGCTATGAATGATCTTTGATAAAGGGCAGAAAGCCATTAAATGAGAAGAGATTGTCTGTTTAACAAATGGTGCTACCAAAACTGGATATCCATTTGCAGAAAAATGAATCAAGATCTGTACCTCACACCACACACAAAAACTAACTCCAACTGGATCGAAGACTTAAATGTGAAACCTAAAACTATAAAGTTCCTCAAGGAAAAAATGGGGGCAAATTTAGGGCCATAATATATGGCATATATAAACTATCAAGCATAAAATACACAAACAGCAGAAGATAAACTAGATGACTGGGACCTTCTAAAAATTAAATTTTTATGTGCTTCCAAAGACTTCTCCAAAGAGTCAAAAGAGAACCTACAGATTGGGAAAAAAATATTCAGCAATGACGTATCTGGCAATGACTTATCTCTAGAATTTATAGAAAACTCCAATACCTCAGTAATAAAAAGACAAATAATCCAATTAAAAAATGGGCAGAAGACATGAATAGAAACTTCACCAAAGAGGATATTCAGGCAGCCAACAAACATATGAAAAAATGCTCACTATCATTAGCATTAGAAAGATGCTAATCAAAACAACAATGAGATATCATCTTGCCCCAGCACTAGTAACAAAGTTGAACAAGATAGAAAATACCAAATGCTGGCAAGGATGTGGTGAGATTGAGACTCTCATACACTGCTTGGAGGACTGTAAAATGATACAACTGTGGAAAGCAGTATGGAGATTCCTTCAAAAGTTGGAATTAGAAATACCATTGACCCAGCAATTTCATTACTAGGTATATATCCTAAAGAAGTGAGAGCCAGGACAAGAACAGATATATGCACACCCATGTTAACTGCAGCACTATTTACAATAGCAAAAAGATGGAAACAACCTAGGTGCCCATCAACAGAAGAATGCATAACCAAACTATGGTACATACACACAATGGAATACTATGCAACCCTAAAGAACAACATAGAATCTGAAAAACACCACATAATGTGGATGAACTTGGAGGACATTATGCTGAGTGAAATAACTCAATCACAGAAGGACAAATATCGTATTAGTCTGTTATTGTAAAAGTCAAGGAAAGGTTTATATATGGAAGGAAACTTTCTTTGTTGATTACCAGGGGTGGGAACAAAAGGGAGTGAACACTGTTAGATAGGTAGAGACAAATAATGATTTGGGTGAAGAGAAGGGCAACATATCAAAGGTGAGTGATCAACACAGTGGCATTGAGGAAGAGGAAGACAGAGAGGAGCATAGGAGGTATACATAACAAAGATGAACCCTTTTGCACATACACGACTGTGTTGTCAGTTAAAGCTAACATTGATATATGGGTGGATGGATGGGTGGACAGGTATGTCTATGCTGGGAGGGCTCTGGTACCATAGTGCTTAAAGGCACTTGACTGCTAACCAGAAGGCTGGTGGTTCAAACCCACCAGCCACTCCTCAGAAGGAAGGTTGGGCGATCTACTTCCATAATGATACTGCCTCAGAAACCCAAGGAGGGGTCACAACAATAACATGTAGGGAGGAGTGTGCCCATAACCATGTATACGGTTGGAAGACAATGTTTCTACAAATGCATTTGTATGTTCTGTAAGGATTCCCAGGTATATAGTAGAACAGACAAGGGGCAAGGTTGTAGTCACTTCGTGGCCACAGCCAGCTACCCAGAGAGAGAGAATAGTTGCACCTGTGGGCTCAAGACCATAGTCGCAGGGGACATCAAGCTCAATTGGCAAACATACTACACAAAAACATTGTGCCACACTCTACTTTGGTGAGTAGCGACTGCGATATTAAAAGCTTGCAAGCAGCTATCTAGATGTAATGATGGGTCTCTCCTCGTCCATCGCAAAGAAGAATGAAGAAATTTTCAGTCAAACAATACACAGGGTGAACAATAACCCTAGGAAGGTACACACTCCTTAGAACAATCAATCATTTGAGACACAAAGGGCAGCATTTGCTCAAGGACAAAGTTCAGAAAGCAGGAAGGGTTAGGAGAGAAGGAGGAATGGAAACAATAAACACAGGGAGGAAGAGGGAGGAGTGATGTTATATTGAAAGGATTGCAATCAATGACGTGAAACAAAATGTGTGTGAATTATTGAATGGAAAACTGATTTGCTGTGTAAACTTTCAAATCACATGAAAAAGTTTTAAAAAATGAAGGAAATTTTGATACATGCTACAATATGAATGAACTTTGAAAATATGCAAAGTGGAAGAAGCCAGTCACACACACACACACACACACACACAAAACACATATGGTATGGTGCCATTTATGTGAAATGTCCAGAATAAGAAAATCTATACAGAAAGAAAGTACATTAGTGAATGCCTAAGACTGAGGACATTAGGGAGGAATGAGGAGTGGCTGCTAATGACTATGGCTTTTTTTTGGGATGATAAAAGTGTTCTAAGATTGATTGTGGTGATAGTTGCACAACTCTGAATACACAAAAATAATCGAATTGTACACTTTAAATGAGTGAATTATATCTCAATAAAACGGCTATAAAAAAAAAAGAATGAGGAAAACCAAAGATGCATGGAAATAATTAGTCCAAGTGACTAGTATACCATGCAATCCTCAGCCTATACGACTATGAGACCAGAAGAACTAGATGTTGCTCTGCTACCACTGTCAACCACTCGGAGGGGGTTCTGTGTAGGAGATCCTGGATAGAGCGGGAGAACAATGCGGAACAAAACTCAAAAGCATTGGATGAAAAAAAGGGGGGGACCAGGTTTGCTGGTCCGATAGATACTGCTGGATCCTCTGGGACTATGGCCCCTAGCTGCCCTTGAGGTCTGGAATTGAACCCACTTCTGTGGCTTCCAGCCAAACAAAAGACAGGTATATGAGCTGAACATTTACATTAGGTAGATAACTTCTTGGAGAAATCAATCATGGGAGAATAGAAGGGCTGTGTATGCACAGGGAGACAGCTTGGGGGGCAGGAGTGCATGGAGGGATGGACACAGGGAAAAGGTAACTATGGGGGAGGAAGTGGGAGGGGAACTCTTGCACTGTGGGAAATTGCAGTCAATGTCATGAGACAAAGTGTATGTGAGGTGCTGTATGGAAAGAGAATTTTCCCTGTAAACTTTCACTCAAATCACAATAATAATAATAATAATAATAATAAAAACAGTTGCCTTAGAGTTGATTCTGACTAATGGTGACACCATGTACATTACATTAGAACTGTGCTCTGTAGGGTCTTCAGTGGATGAATTTTCAGAAGTAGATTAAGAAGACTTTCCTCCAAGTCTGGGTAGACTCAAACCTCCAACCTTTGGTTAGCAGCCAAGAATTTTAATTGTTTGCACCACCCAGGGACTCTTGTCTTGACTTAGGATCATATTAACTCTCCTACTCTGTCACAATATACACTGATGGAGTTTTACTCATCTTGACATGCTATGCACAGGACATTAGGCCACCTTATTGATAACATCATGCCTCTCAGAACAGGAAGTGGGAAGTCCTCTGGATACTCTAGTGAAAAACATTTCTGTCAGAGAATGAGACATAAACCTTACAAAGATTCAGGGACCAGCCATAGGTGATGTTTTTAGGGATCCAATGTTTGAGATCAGTATTCATCATAGGATTTACACAAATAAACTTTACCTAATTCATCCTACTGATCTCAGCCAAACACTATTTTCTCAAGAAAGCTTCTGATTCCCAGAATCAGACTGGAGTCCACTAAAGACTTTGATTGTTCACAGTATGTTCCATCATAGTTCTTCATTATATTTCATAATTAATAACTGATTACTGGATTAAGGTCTATATTCTTCATTATACTGTCAGTTACATGAGAATGAGAACTATTTTGTAAGCCACTGTATCCCCAAACCTAGCACAATGTCTGGCATATAATAGCTGTTTAGTAAATAAAATGAACGAATGATACTACAAATCTCCATATAGGAGTGAACAGTCTATCCATATAAGTCTTCCTGCACAATTCCACTTCCTTAAACTATGTAATATTCAGTACTCCCCAAACTCAACATTTAGACGTTTTCAACTCTTTATGAGCAAATTATACCTTAAAATCCTATTCTAAGTCAGGAGTCCCAATGATTACAATTATCACTTATTTATTAAGTACAGCATTTTTGTGTGCTGGGAACTGTGTCAATCACTATAATATCCTTATGAGGTAAGCATTGTTATTAGTTCCATTTTACATATTAAAAATATAAGACGACTCAGCAACATTAATTTTCCTAGGGTCATAGATTAGGTAACTGGTAGAAAATGTATTTAAATCCAGATCTGTTAAACCCTGAAACCTATGGTCCTAATGTCTCTGCTATACTGCCTTTTATTGCCATGCCCTGATTTAAGTTTGGTATTTAATATTCTCAAGCACATTAAAGAAATTATTATCCACCATAAAAGATGAAGAAGAAAAGAACAAACCAGTAGAGCACAGATGATATGATCCCTGGTATCTGTGCAAACTTCATTTCCATTTCACCATACTGAAAGTTGACAGGCAAGATCTACTAATAAATTTAAATTCTTACCTTTTCTGAGCACATCGAAGTAAACCACGTCCAAAATAAACTAAAGGCATGAAGTTTTCACAGATTTCCTTTTCTTGGATCATTAACTTCATCACCAGAAATTTACTCTCAGCTTCTAAATAATCCTGTAGTAACATAAATCTAGGTTTGACTGATTAAGAAAGGTATTTTTTTTTCTTTTGAAATAAACAATTATTTTCTAACTTGAGAAATTAGCGCAGTTTTAAGGGTGATCGAGTCACTTATCAAATCTCTGATCCAAGAAAATCTGTATGTATTCATAAAGATTATGTACATACTCCACAATGAAAGCATTTATTTACAAAAGAATCTAAGATTTTTAACCACCATTTCATAATAAAATTTTTAAATATAATTTCCATATCTAAAACTGGAAAATATTACTAGCCAAAATAAAAGCTTTTCTGATGTCTACTAAAGATTCCTTATAATTCTTCCTAAATTTCTTTCTAGTTGGAGCACAATTCTTCCTAATTTTCAAATATGAAATAAGTGACTTCTAACCAGAGACATAAAATCTCTTTTAAAGCAGCACCATATTGATTATAAACAACATAGTTTTGGAAATAAAGGTCAGGATCAGCGCTAAAAGATGCTTCAGTTACAATTAATAAAATTGACATAACAGTCTGATTCCTTAGAAAAGAAATAAATAGGAAAATTGCTACATGGCCTTATTTAAAGATATTATCTAGCACATCACACTAAATAGTTAGCATTACATGAAATTACTCACAATAAAGGTGTTTTAGTTGGGTGCTTATAAATTCTACTTCACCTAATTAACAAGATAGGTTTATATATTTAATTTGTGAAGCTAAGTAAAGTGCATAGATTAGGAAAGGGAAAAAGCAAGAGAAATACCAAAGCTATAAAGAAAATATGAGAAATCACTGAAAATTGATAAAAAAGAATGTTAAATTTGGAAAAAAAAAAAAAACACCTCACTGCTGCGGAGTCAGATCCGACTCATAGCGACCCATCCTTGGGTTTGTGAGGCAGGATCTCTAAGGAAGTAGATGCCCAACCTTCCTTCCAAGGGAGTGGCTGGGGGGTTTGAGCTGCCAGCCTTTTGGTTAGCAGTCAAATGCCTTAGCCACTACATCACCAGAGCTCCTTAAATTTGAAAAGACACTTAGAAATTAGTTAACGCTTAGATTTTTACTTATTTGCACCTCATCTTATTCAACAAAGAATTTGAAGTAAAACTCATATTTTATCAAAGGGGTAAGATAAAGTCCAGAGAGATGAAGCTACACCAGAAAATGCATTAAAACGTAATATATGAATGAAAAAAGCATTAACTAAGACCATTTTTATAGTACACAAATAGCAGTTAAAGTTAAAATAACTAAAGTTTTAAGCTAATATTACCAGTTTCCTATTATGTATTTTCAGTTTTACACTATAATCTTTAACATAATTACTCAAATTAGAAATATACGATGGAAAAGTCAATGAAAATATTCAATTTTCAGAGAAATTCAAAATTTTAATTTGCTAAAATGAAGTCAATGAACATAAAAAAGATTTATAGTTGGCAAATATCATGCTACATACCTCTTTCTTTCCTCTTTCAGTAAGTGCTACTGCATACAAAAACAGTAATGCCAAATAATAGCCAAAGTTAATCTGGTGTGCCTAAAAAGAAAAATATCTATTTTTTAATTGGTTATGTAGACTAAGGTTTTCAGTATAAGACACTTAATTAAATATCCTACACCTATTTAATAATTACTCAAAAAATAATTATGACTTTCCATTATATTATCAATTATCTAACAATAACTAGAGAATGCACCTTAGATGGATTTGATAATCTGACCAAGGAAGGAGAAAATGTACACTAGAATTTGACTAAAGAAAATGAAATATATCAAAATTTCTTATGTTAAACCTTTCAAAAAATTATCATTCTGTTAATTTAAAATATCAAAAACATTTTAGATAACATAATGAATGCCCAAGTATCCATCACTCAGTTTAAAAAATATGGTTAACTCGCCAATCAAAAATTTTTAGTCTCCATATGGGTTTTGTTTTAATAGTACAATCATAAAGCTTACACTTCTTCAATGAAAAATTACAAAGCTTGGATATTTCCTGCATCTAAAAACTGTCTATGCAAAATTGGAGATGGAGAACAGATTAGGGATCAGAGAGAATAGGGAAGGAGAAAGGTGGTTATGAGCGTAATGGAGTAGTGTAAGAGAGATCTTTATTGTAATGGAATAGTCCTTTGATCTTTATTGCAGTGGTGGTTACACAAATACATACATGTGATAAAATGACAAAGAACTATACACACCTGTATAGGAAAAAGTTGGTCTGATGAGACTGCAATCCTTAGAAAGGTCTAATGACAAGGCTGGCACTTAGCTAGTGCCTGGGAACTTAGGTTTTGGAAGGATCCTCACTGTTCCCTAATTGGTAAAGGTAGTTTACTAGACTAAGACTGTTCGTACAAAGTGGTTTATGCTGACTATCTGCATTTCTATGACAGTCTGGACTTTGGTATGTTCTAAGCAAAGGGTGCTTATATGACCCCCAAAAAACCAAACCAGCTGCCATCAAATTGATTCCATCTCATAGCAACCCTATAGAACAGAGTAGAACTGCCCTATAGGGTTTCCAAGGCTATAAATCTTCAAGGAACCAGACTGTCACAACCTTCTCCTTTGGAGCAGCTCATGGGTTCAAAGCATCAACCTTTTGATTAGCAGCTAAGCCCTTAACCACTGTGCAACCAGGCAAAAACCTTGGGCACTTAATCTAATAGGCTTCCCTGGCCAGAAATACTACATATGTGTTGCTGCATTTTCACCACTAGAGGTAAAGTCTACTCTGTGTGACCCCTTCTGGGAGGGAACAGTGTAAGAAACCCTGGATGAAGATTCTTCCAGACTCCACCTGTGTCTTTTTCCCTTACAATCTAGCTGTATACCTTTAACAAATATTACTAAATCTTAGTCATAAGCATAATTGACTACGTGCTAAGTCCTATGAGTCCCAGTAAATCTCCAAATATGGGCTATTCTTAGGGAACCCCTACACAACACCCATTGCATTGTACCAATGTCAATTTCCTGGTTTTTGGTGTTATACTTTAGTTACGAAAGATGTAACCATTGGGGGAACTGGGGAAAAGTGCACAGAATCTCTCTATATTATTTTTGTAACATCCTTTGAATATATATTTATCTCAAAAGTTTTAAAAGTTGTCTATGGAGAAAGTGTTGCCCATTCTGTTCATAAACTCAATATTGACTGAAGATTATAACCATACCTTTTGTCACATTCCTTTTTTTTTTTTCCATTGATATTGCCCCATACTATCAGCAAAATTCTTGCAGGTATGTAAGAATAATAAGCATCAACAGGACATGGATTTTTTTTTTTTTATGTTTATCTTATTCTATTATCCCATTTATAACAATTACAATCAACAATATACATTTACAAGATATCTGGCTGGCGTTATCCAGTGAAGATAAATGTGGTTTTCCATAGGCTAAGGGAGTTTATCAACACAAATTCCCCTGTAACACCTCACTGGTTTTCATATTAAAATGCCCATTTCTGCAGAGGCAATATAATGCAGTGATTCAGAGCATAGGCTCTAGAGCTAAGACTAGCTGGGTTTGTATACTCTATCCACTATGTTACTACTTGGCAGATTTAGGCAAATTATTTAATATCTGCCTCAATTCCCATAATCTATAAAATATGATACGATCATTATAAAGAGTAGATAACCTAATACTTGCAAAGTGCTTTTCAAGAAGTGCCTGTCATAGAGAAAACACTAATATGTGTCAGCTGTTATTTTGTAACTTTTGAAACACTAGCTTCACAAATAACCCAGAGTTTTGGGCTCACTCAATTCTAAATAAAAAAGATTTTTGAGAACAGGATAAGATGCAGACAGGTGGTAACACTATAATTAGAAGTAGAAGGCAATCAGCTCAGGAATTTAAAGGTATAAGCAGTACATTTCTAACCTAAATCCCTGTCCTTTCCTTCTTCCCTGTGGTAGTTAAGGTTACATGTCAATTTAGCTGGGCTTGGTTTTGAGTGGCTGGGCAGCTGGTAGTAGTTATTCCCCATGATGACATGAGCAATCAATTCCATGGTGGAATCTGCCTCGAGCAGCTGAGTAGCTGTTTTAGGAATGTGGTCTGCTTCCCATATATAAGGAGAAGCTTTGCCAATGGTCTACAGCTTTTTGGCACACTTGAATCTTACATGTAGCCAAGTTGTTGTTCAGCAGCCTGCCATGCGCTACCAGTCTTGGGACTTTTTCTGGACTTGAATTAGCGGTCTGTTGTGTTGTTTGGTAACATTGGGACTGTGCCTCTTTACTTGTCAACCTTGGTTTGTCAGTCTCAGCAGCCAGCAACTGCCTGAGTGAAGAAAAGCCTCTAGCTTAAGTGGGCCAGGAGCAGGACACAGAGCTGAAACCCAAGGTTGAGGAGCTTTCAGCCAGCCTCTAGAGCCTGGCACTTTGAACTCAGACTTCTAGCCTCCAAAATTGTAAAAGAATAAACTCCTGTTTGTTCAAGGCATCCCATTTGTGGTATATTTCTGTTAGAGCAGCACAAAGTAACCACAACACTCCCTTTCACCCTATTAGCACAGACTGTATCCAGTAACAGAACCAAATGAAAATAAAGATGGTACTGGCAACTCCTCTGCCTTCTATTCCTTTGTCTTGCCCCTCCTTTGGGCCTTAAGGAAAAGGGAGAAACATTTGGACACAGTAGTAGGCCGATTTCATCATGACAATTCCAATACTGCTCACAAGTGCTAACAAGAAAGTGAACACTTCCATTTCTGAGCCTAAGATTCATCATTAATGTCTAAATTGAGTAATCTAAAGAATGATGATCTGTTAATGGTGATTTGCCTCACTGGTTAGCAATCTGGTCAGTGGGAGAAATAATAAGTCTGCAGTATCCCTGAAGTTCTCAGGATTACATGTTGATGCAAACTCCTCTTCTTTGTGCTCTCTTTTGACTTCACCAAAGTTTCCATCCAGAACCTCCCTTCAGGGTGATATATATCACCCCTTAAAACTTAGCCCTGGGAGCCCTGAAAAAAGATTATTTTTTCACCTCATTATGAGATTTAGTATCTTAGGTTGCTTTGTTTAGTACCAGGGCAGCCAGTTCTTTATTGGAGACAACCCTAATCTAAATGGATTTCTTTCTTCTAAGTATATGCAAACCTTACTTTATTGATTCAAATTATAGAAAGAACTAGATTTTTCCTTTTACTGTTCTTGCACTATTGATTCTGATTTTCAGTGCAAAGTGTAGTTTTCCTCAGATTATTCTATATCTTTATAAAGTATCATCTGAATTTAAACACAAATATATATTTAGTCTATCTTATATTATTCTATTCAGTAACAGTTAACAGAAGTTCCATTTTTTATAAATATAGAACTATTAGAAGAAAGAGGAGCTAGTTAATAATTAGGGAGAAAAGAGGTAGTCTCTGAAGTTCATAACTCTCCATTTCCTGCTGGGGAAGGTCCATTTCTATACTAATTCCATTATTTTCTATGCTTAGGATGAAAAATTTTATAATAGGGAAGGAAACTGGAATAGACTTATTACAGAGATGAAGTCAAATAGTGACACATGGAAAGGAAATTATGGATTTCCTTCTCTAAAGGTAAAAGAAGAAAACATAAATTAACCAACACCTCAAAAGAAGCATGCAATGGTTACTGTTCTCTCATTGAAAAATACCAATTCATTATTTCATATTTTCAAAAAGAAAATACTCACAGAATAAGTAGTAGCTTGAATGTTCTTCAGTGCTGCTTCTAGCTGTGTTATCAAGAAACTTAAAGTCAAAGGAGGAACTATTTCCTCTCCGTTCTGGCTGTTAGCTGCAACTTCTTTCTGTGGAAAATATTTTAGTTGAAAATTTAAATTAGAACAAATATCTACACATATATTTATTATGTAAATAATGTTTATTACAGAACATTTGGAAGAAATAAAGAATTTTAAAAATAAAACTCATACAACCCAGGTACCAACTGTTCTTGTATTTGTTTGTTTCTCATGTAGTCTAATGAATTTTCATTGTACCTATTTCCCAAAAACACTAAAAACCATTCCCACTCCTGACAAGAGGTTTGCATTATCCATTCCTACTTTGAAGAAAAGTGGTAATCTTACTCCATTCTCTCACACCTCCTATTCACTAGCACAACTGAATCTTCCTGCCACCTATGAACCTGAACTAAGCAGGAATGTTGGCATTAATACGAGCGCCAGATCATGCCATTTTACGCTGTAATGTGATTGGACTAATACACGACTTACTAGGTTCTACAATTTTCTGTTAACATGGATGTAACAAAAGGATGGATTATGTCTTATCTTCGTGTCCATTCCCTAATGCTTTGTACCCACAAGTCCTCAGCATGCATCTACTGAATTCAACTGGCTTAAATTATATCATCTGTTTAATGATATTCTACCTTTGTGAAAAGTTTAATCAACACTTTCCTAACTTGGTTTCCAGTATACAATACTCTACTATTTTCCTCCTAGTAACTAAATATTTTATTTCTGTCTCCCCAGCCCTCAATCTAATGAACCTCTTTTCTATCAACACACATCCCCTAGATAAAGTACTTGTAGTAAAACACATAACAAAAGCATTCAACACTTCAACCACTTTTACGCATACAATTCAGTGACACTAGTTACATTCACCATGCTGTAAATCACTATTATCCACTTCCAAATTGTTTTATCACCCTTAACAGAAACTCAGTATTCCTTACAGAATTTGTCCTTTGGTGACTCCCTTATTTCACTCAGCATAATATTTTCAAGATTCACCCATGCTGCAACATGTATCAGGACTTCCTTTCTCTTTATGGCTGAATAATATTCCATTGTATGAATATATGACATTTTTTTAATCCATTCATGTGTTGATGAATACTTGGGTAATTTCTACCTTTTGGTTATCATGAGTAATGCTGTGACAGTGTACAAGTATCTGTTTGAATCCCTGATTTCAAATCTTTTGAGTATATCTCTAAGAGTGGAATTGCTGGGTAATTCTTAGTTTAACATTCTGAGGATCTGCCAAACTGTTTTCCACAGTAGAACAGCAGTTTATAATTCCACTAGCAATGGATGAGAGTTCCTATTTCCCCACATCTTCGCCAACGCTTGTGTTCCATATCTCTAACAGCCACAGTCATGAGCGTAAAATGGTATCACACTGTGATTTCGATTCACATTTCCCTAAAGACTGATGATACTGAGCAGTTTTTCATGTGCTTATTGTCTGTGTGCATTATCTTCTTTGATGAAATGTCTACTCAAGTCCTTTGCCAATTTTTTAATTGGGTTGTCCTTTTGTTGTTTAGCATTGCTCTTTATGTATTTTGAATATTAAACCCTTACCAGAGATGTTGTTCCCAAATATTTTCTCCCATTCTGTAGGGTGTCTTTTTACTTTGCCAATAAAATCCTTTGTCGTATAGAAGGTTTTAATTTTGATGAAGTCTGTTACCTATTTTGCTATTTTACTCATGCTTTTGATGCCATATCTATAGGGATCTATTGTTGAAAACTAGGTCCTGAAGCATAGTCCCTAGGTTTTGTTCTAAGATTATTATGGTTTCAGCTTTTATATTTAGGTCACTGCTCTATTTTGAGTTAATTTGGATATGTGGTGAGAAGTATAGGTCCAGCTTCATTCATTTACATGTGGAGATCCAGCTGTCCAGCATTCATTGAAAATTACTATTCTTTCTCCAATAAGTGGACTTATCAACCTTGTTAAAAATGTTGATAGCAGATGTATGGGTATTATCAAGTTTTTAAATAATGTCTACACACTAGCAGTTTCTAAATGTGTATTTCTAGCCCAGAAGTATTAAAAGACAGGAAAGGAAAACATGACCAAAATGGATGTCGGAAGAGACTCTGAAACTTGCCCTTGAATGTAGCTAAAGCAAATGGAAGAAATGATAAGATAAAAGAGCTGAACAGATTTCAAAGAGCAGCTCGAGAAGACAAAGCCAATTATTATAATGAAATGTGCAAAGGCCTAGATTTAGAAAACCTAAAGGGAAGAGCATGCTTAGCATTTCTCAAGCTGAAAGAACTGAACAAAAAATTTAAGCTTTGAGTTGCAATAATGAAAGATTCTATGGGAAAAATACTGAATACTTCAGGAAATATCAAACGAAGATGGAAGGAATACAGAAAGTCACTGTACAAAAAAGAATTGGTCGATGTTCATCCATTTCAGGAGGTGGCATATGATCAAGAACCAATGGTACTGAAGGAAGAAAGTCAAGCTATACTGAATGAATTGGTAGAAAAAAAGGCTCCAGGATTGAAGGAATATCCATTGAGATGTTTCAACAAATGGATGCCGCACTGGAGGCACTCAGCTATGCCAAGAGATCTGGCCAATTGACTGGAAGAGATCCATATTTGTACCCATTCCAAAGAAAGGTGATCTCACAGTGCCTAAGGCACTTGACTGCTAACCAGGAGGCCGGAGGTTCAAACCCACAAGCCACTCCTTGGAAGGAAGGTTGGCAATCTACCTCCTCGGAAACCCAAGGAGGGGTCGCTGTGAATCGGGTCCAACTCCACGGCACATAATAACAACAACATCATTAATGTCACATGAAAGTAAAATCTTACTAAAGATAATTCAAAAATGATTGCACAGTATATTGACAGAGAGCTTCCAGAAATGCAAGCTGGATTCAGAAGAGGATGTGGAACGAGAGATGCCATTGCTGGTATCAGATAGATCTTGGTTGAAAGCAAAGAATACCAAAAAGATGTTTTATTGACTATGCAAAAGAATTCAATTGTGTGGATCATAACAAACTATGGATAACATTGAAAAGAATGAGAATTCCAGAACACTTAATTGAATTCATAAGGAACCTGTACATAAACCAGGAGGCTGCAGTTCGAACAGAACAAAGGGATACTGCACGGTTTAAAATCAAGAAGGGAGTGGGTCAGGGTCATATCATTTTCCCATACTTATTCAATCTGTATGCTGAGCAAATAATCTGAGAAGCTGGATTATGTGAAGAAGAATATGGCATCAGGATTGGAGACTCATTAACAACTTGTGATACACAGATGACACAACTTTGCCTACTGAAAGTGAGGATGACTTGAGGCACTTACTAATGAAGTTCGAAGAGTATAGTCTGCAGTATGGATTATATTATTTATATTAATATAAAGAAATCAAAAATCCTCACAACTGGACCAATAAACATCATCATGATAAATGGAGAAAAGTTTGAAGTTATTAAAGACTTCGTATTGCTTGGTTCTACAATTGACACCAATGGAAGTAGCAGTCAGGACATCAAAAGATGTACCGCATTGGGCAAATCTGTTGCAAAAGTCCTCTTTCAAGTGCTGAAGAGCAAAGATATCTCTTGAAGACTAAGAAGCACTTAACCCAAGCCATGGTATTTTCAATTGCCTCTTATGCATGTGAGAAGTGGACAATGAATAAAGAAGACCGAAGGAGAGTTGATGCTTCTGAGTTGTAGGGTTGGCCAAGAATGCTGAGAGTACCATGGACTGCTAAAAGAACTAACAGATCTGTCCTGGAAGAAGTACAGCCTGAATGTTCCCTGGAAGTTAAAATGGCCAAACTTTGTCTCACCTACTTCAGTAATGTTATCAGAAGGAACCACTCCCTCGAGGACATCATGCTTGGTGAAGTGGAGGGTCAATGAAAAAGGGGAAGGCCCTCAACAAGGTGTACTGACAGTGGCTGCAATGACAGGCTCAGGTATAGCAGGGATCGTGAAGATGGCACAGGATCGGGCAGTATATCATTCTGTTGTACATAAGGTAGCTATGAGTCAGAGTACCTTGATGGCACCTAACAACATATTTGAAAAGAATGTATATTCTGTCTGTGTTAAGTGCAGTGTTCTATTGTCAACTAAGTCAAGTTTTCCTATAGCTCTACTGATTTTATGTTCATCTTCTATCAATTATTAACAATCCTACTGCCATTGAATCGATTCTGACTCATAGTGACCCCATAAGACAGAACAGAACTGCCCCATTGGGTTTTGAAGGCTGTAAATCTTTACAAAAGCAAACTGTCTCATCTTTCTCCTGTGGAGCAGTTGATGGGTTTGATGCCCAGACCTTTCGGTTAGCAGCCTAGAGCTTTAACCATTGTGCAACCAGGGGTCCTTGATTATTAACAAAGGTGTATTAAAACCTCCCACTAAAATAGCTGGTCCATTTCTTCTTTAATATTGTCATTTTATCATACATAAAATGTCTTCAAGAATTTGGGTCTACATCTGGACTCTCTCTTCCATTCTCTAAACCAGCCTGTGGAGTTAAGAGCAAGTTACACAATTTTTTAGATATTAGAGCTTCATACTAACTTTAATATCTAAGTGGACAAGTTCCTAGCCCTTTTCTTCTCTTTCATAATCTTCTTGATTACTCTTCCTTCTTTGTTACCACAGGAACTTTAGAATTAGCTTTTAGTAACAATAAGGACAACAACAACACTCTTTTGATATTTTTATTAGAATTATGTGACATTTGTAGATTTTAATTTAGGAAAAATTGACAACTTTATCACACTGTGTTTTCCCACATATACTGCTTTCCATTCAGGTCTTCTTTTCTCACCCTTCATAGAGTTTCAGAATTTTTTATTTACTGTTTTAATATAGAATACTGATTTCTAAACTTAATGTGACTAAAATCAGTATGTATTGATGTTTGTTAAAATGTAGATTTCCAGACCTACCCAAGATTTTCATTTATAAGTGTAGTATGAGGTTCAGATACTCTGATGTACCTGGTTTAGGACAAACTTTGAGAAACACTAGTTTATAACTCACACATTTCTTAAGTTTCTTCCTAGTTATTTTACTTTTTTGTTATTATTATAAATAAAACCTTTCTTCCATTATTACGTTCTAATTGGCTATTGTTTTCATGTATAAAAGCTACTGATTTCTGTTTCTGATTGTTGTTTCTGGGTGATTTCCAAAGGGTAAGAGGGAAATAGTGGCATTACTCCATCAAATTCGATACTGTGGTAGAATTCTCATTGATAATATCTTCTCTATTCTCTCCATTCTACCTGCCTTTCTGCATCATTTAACAGAAGCTAGAGCTCTGGTGGCATAGTGCCTAAGGCATCTGACTGAAAACAAGAAGGTTGGCGTTCAAACCCACCAGCACTCCTCAGAAAGAAGACTGAGCAATCTACTTCTGTAAAGATTAACTGCCTCGGAAATGCAAGTCGCAATCAACTCACTAGCAGTGAGTTTTTTTTTTTTTGTATTTTTTTTAAGGAGTGTCAAGGTTCTCAAGGAAGGTCGTAGGGCATGATCGACAATGTTAAATGATAAATGATGAATAAATTATCTCAGTTAAGGTCATAATTGTATATAAAGTTTTATTTATATTTTCAGTTTGTTTGAGTTTTCAACCATAATAATGTTAGTTTCATGGAAATAATGATGTAATCTTTCACCAAAACATCAATGTGGCTTTTTCAAGATGCACTCCTCTACTCTGTGGGAAAAATATATGCCAGTCACTTCCATAAATATTAACCCACTCTGGTAGCATAGTGGCTAAGACACTTGCCTGCTAACCAGACGGCTGGCGGTTCAAACCCACCAGCCACTCCTCGGAAGGAAGGTTGGGCAATCCTACTTCCGTAGTGATACTGCCTCGGAAACCCAAGGAGGGGTCGCTATGAGTCAGGTTTGACTCGACGGCACATAACAACAACAACAACAATGTTGAGTTGATTCTGACTCATAGCAAACTACAGGCTGGAACAGAAATGCCCCATAGGGTTAACACAGCTATAAATCTTAATGGAAGCAGGCTGACATGTCTTTCTCTGCAGAGTAGCTGGTAGGTTTGAACCGGTGATCTTTTGGGTAGCAGCCGAGTACTTAACCATTATGCTACCAGAGCTCCTCTCATGAAAATTACAGTTTTGGAAACCCTATGAATTAGTTCTACTCTGTCCTACAGGGTCATTATGAGTTGGAATCAACTTGGCAGCACTGAGTTTTGTTTTTTTAGTTATGGTGTTTAGCCCTCCCTTCCTCAGTTAAACACACAAAGAAAAGATTTGGTCTTTTTTTTTTTAACTTTGTAAAACACTATTAATTTAAGAAGTGATAAACCTTCTCTGCTGAGGTGATCACAAATTATTATCAAGCAATACTAATTTTACGACAGAAATCTAAAATATATTCTCTAGATTATTTTACTCATAAATCTACAAGTTTTAGATACTATTTTTTTTCCTTAACATGTTTGTGAAATTATAACATGTTTGAAAAACTATAAACATTTTACTGTAAAGGAAACCAAAAGCAGTCCCCTGTCCCAAAGTGACTTACCATGTGTTATCAGTAAAATTGAAATAGACACTAGACCTTCTAGCCCACAGCTAATGAGCTACAAACCCACAGTTCTACTATTATTATAAAAGGCTAGGGCCAATTAGTTCTATTTGATTAACAAAAGTCCACAGTCAAGGTTGACACTAAAGTCCTTCACAAGAAGATGCAGATTGCAAGACCTTAGGTATACTGTTTTGGAACTAAAAAAAAGATACACTCTGTCTCAAAAAACAAATGATGATCTTACCTGCATAGTTTGGAAGGAAAAATCTTCTTGTAAAAACTTCTTAATGTACAAGATAACATTTTTTGGGAGAGCACTAATCACATTCAATAACTTCTTCATTTCTAATAGTAGGTTAATAGAGACAAGATCAGTAGTTGTGTCCTTTTCTAGTTTGTCCTAGAAGACATATTCATTAAAAATTTACATAATTATACATGTTCTGGTTTACTGTGATACTAAAACAAGTATTTAAAAAAATAACAAAGGGCCTACTATATGCACATCACTGTAAGAAAACTATAGAAAATCTAAATATGACATACGTTCTCACTGTTTCCAAGGAACATGCAACACAGCAGAAAGTTTAAGATCAAAATCCAAGAAGCTTTATTATAGGGAAGCACCAGAACCAAACCTATAGCCATTGAGTAGATTCCAATTTAGAGCAACTCTGTAGGTCTAGTACAATGAGCACCCATATACCCTTCACTTAGATTCTGCAACTGTTCACTTTTTCCTACATTTTTAGAAGTAATTTTCAAATAATGGCATATATAAAATGTGATGTCTATTAGTTATGAATGGGGATAGAGGACTCTTTAGAGTCAAACTCAGGAGAGAATAGTCCTACAATAGGCCATAGTGGTTCCCAGTGGCTTTGCTGTGTAGTTTCTGTGTCATTAGAGATCTGATAGTCGCTTCACACCACGGTGTGTTCAGTAATTCTAACTCTACATGACCTCACTGCAATGGGAAGCTGCCCTATAGATTTTCCAAGGCTGTAAATCTTTACAGAAGCAGACTGTCTCATCTTTTCTCCCATGGAGCAGCTGGTGGGTTTAAATCACTGACCTCTGGTTAGCAGCCCAATGCTTTAATCACAGTACCACCAGAGAGCCTTTTAATATAGGGAAGGTCATCATAAATTCATTTGAAAGTTATAAATAATGTAAACATTCAATGATGGGAATAATTATACCTCTTTTTGGTGGAGGAGATGGCATGAAAGATTATAGTATTATATGCAAATTAAATCTTAAAAATGTTTGCCTTTGGTAAATATACAGCATGTATGGAATCGATCCATTTAAAGCATAAAATATGCCAAGCTTAAAATAGTGTATAGATTATGCCACATATGAAAACTATACCCAAGAATGCTTTTTACATTAATTGACAAATGTGTCTGGTACTAAACACAAAGCAAATTGAAAATGCATAGAATAGCAACAGTCTAAATTGTAAACACAGTAGTGAAATACAGTGACCCTAACTTATGTCAATTCAATCGGAGATAAGTAAATAGTAATAATCTTGGGACTTCAAAAACATGTTCTTACAGACTTAACAAAGCCATCACTGATGGTTAATTAATCTATATAGTCAGGTTTTACTGGACTGTCTATTAATGTCAGTTGTGAGAAACCAAATAAGCAGTAGAGAAGGATAAAAGGCCTATACCAAATGGACCATTGTCTTCCTCCAACCTCTAATAAGCTACCACAGTTCCCATAGTCTGTCGAAACTATGGGAATATTAATTATGTTACTGTTGACCTCAGAGAATCAGAGAATACAGCTTCCCATTGCAGTGAGGTCATGTAGAGTTAGAATTACTGAACACACCGTGGTGTGAAGCGACTATCAGATCTCTAATGACACAGAAACTACACAGCAAAGCCACTGGGAACCACTATGGCCTATTGTAGGACTATTCTCTCCTGAGTTTGACTCTAAAGAGTCCTCTATCCCCATTCATAACTAATAGACATCACATTTTATATATGCCATTATTTGAAAATTACTTCTAAAAATGTAGGAAAATGTGAACAGTTGCAGAATCTAAGTGAAGGGTATATGGGTGCTCATTGTACTATTCTTGCAACATTTGTTTGTTAGAAATTTTTCAAAAAGCATTTAAAAACAAAAACTCCCTCCACAAAGCAGCTAGAGAAACTCTTGTAAAGAATAGCCATTGTCAGTAGTGCACATATTTCAAATAAAAGGTCAAGTCTGTAGTCAAAAGTCACTGCAGAATGAGAGTGTGGAATTAACAAATTGATACACAAAAAGCAAGATTATGGCCTGAATAAATTTTTTTCAACATGAAACAGTAGAAGCCTTATGCTAGTTAACTATTTGTATCTTCTTATGAGTACAGTGAAACCTGTGAGAGCTGCAAATTGCTGAGACTGCCTTATTTGTACAGGTCTTACAAGTTTTCTGCCTCTGACAGGATGTATAGACCTTACCACTTTTCTATCACTTATTTTAGCAGAAAATGTTTGCATTTTCCTTCTCTGGCAGGTAGGTGTCTGCCTTACTCAGTGTGGCTTTTGCAGGTTTCACTGAACAATGGATGTTCAAATTTTTTAATTAGTGTTTAAAATATTAGACACACAACCCATTTGTCCAAAATTGTTTTAATATTTGAATCAAATTCAGGTCAAACTTTCTCCTCCCTTGCTTTCTGTATTCCCAAATCAGTACCTAGAAATGTCTTTTCCGGATCTAATTGCCTTGGTTCTTGCCTTTCCTCAACTGAACATCCCTATATACATTTGCATATATTGTATTTCCTCTTCAACATTTTTTATAGTGATAACATCATGTAGATGAATACTATTATGATTATTTTATGTTTGTAAATTTTCTACTCCTAAATTAAAGATAACTTCTACACGCAGTCCTTGATTTACAGCAGAGTTCCCATTCTGACAACTCTGTTATAAGTTGAATACCTCTTTTTTTTGTTGTTTTTTTTAGTTTTCTTAATTATCACCTTTTATTATTAGTATCTTTAGAAATACAATTATTACCTTTGGGGGTTGGAAACATTACATAAAAACTTATACATATATTTTAATATGTAAATACATTTTAAAAATATACAAATCATAAAAATTTACTCCAATGATAGAGTTAGACAACATTGGCATTTTGTCACTTGTGGTTAATAACTCCAGTTGTGGAAGGTTCTGGAGCATCTGGATTACCCTGGGAAGAGGGATAGTGTTTCTTGTCAGAAAATCAGTGAGAACTGTCTATATAGTCCTTTTATTTTTTTCTTCATATATTTCACAGCAACATCTGACTGCTTCCTGAATCTGCCTACTAACGTGACTGAAGTAACCAGCATTTGAGTGCATGTTTTCAAACAACAGAAGCCTTTGATTTAGTTTAGAAAAATATTCAGCTAACCCTTTCTTTTTTTTTTATTAGGATTTGGGTGAAGATTTACAGAGTAAATTCACTTTTCATACAGCAGTTCACATATACTTTGTCTCATGTCATTGACCAAAATTT